AAAAACCCCAACCACTGGAATGTTGACGCGTGGATGCCATTTGGTCCCGGTTGGTGCCACCAACCGGGACCAAAGGCCCCCCTGCCAGGGCTCGGCACACCGGCCACGTGGAGGACCATCTGTCCCGGTTCGTGTTTGAACCGGGACTAAAGGGGGAGGTATTAGTAATGACCCATTAGTCCCGGTTCATGAACCGGGACTAAAGGCCCTTACGAACCGGGACAAATGCCCTCTTTTCTATTAGTGTCTGTGTCTCCATCTCTAGATTTATACACTACTCAGGTAGTTTTTTGTACGAAGCATGCATGCATCTAACTAAAGGGAATGACTCATTTGAATAACGATCGCCTCCAGGCCAGATTAGATAGGACCAACAGCTAGCAGATGAGGATTAAGAGCCTTGACCTAAAAAGTGAAATGAAGATCGAAAAGAAGACCAAACTAAATACTACTAGCTACTCCTACTCCAGGTCCCATATAATTGATGTGCACCCATCGAACTCAAAGTCAAGTGGCTATGCAGATTCCATGTGCAGTAACTAGCTGCTGGCAGGGGCAGGTGAAAATGCCGTACAGGCACATCCAGATGGAACCAGACGAATCGGCGGTTGGTTAGAGTTAGTACGCTAGCAGCATTGTACTATTTTCTTCTTTAGCTGTGGCGCTCCACTAGCTCTAGCTCTATTGGCTTACAATATCATAACTATTCACTGATTTATACGTACTTTGTCTTCTTGGGAATCTGCGTTATGTATGGGCAATTTGATTATTGTGATCAGTGTACAGATGCATGGTGCATGATGTGGAGTAGATAGATAAGCAAGTGTGATTGTTGCATACTTAATACGACAATATATGTCCCTTGTACCTAGCCTTATAGAGTTTTGCCAGAACTGGTGGATTAGATGAATGTATGCGGTGTTTAGTTGTTGTATAAAAACGTGTGAGATGATTGAGCAATGCATATGCAGACGTGGGCGATTTTCTATTTTACTGGTATGAGTCACATCCCTTTTCCGACTTTCTTTTTTCAGATCACGATGAAAATAGTGCTTTTGAGGGTGCTCATTTTAACAAGCCCTCTGATTGAGCCATAGAAAAACAGTAGTGTGACGCCCGGAAAATTAAGCTACAGTAACCCTCTGGTAATGATGCCACGTCACCTCGATTATTGTTGATAATCTCGTGTTAGCTCGGAACCGAACCAAATTCAAATTTGAATTAAAGTCAAAACAATTAAAGTTTTCAAAAGTCAAAACTAAATTGTCCCTAATGTGTCTAATAATCCATAATAAATGCTGGTGAAGAAATCATCTCTTAATAAAATACCTAAATGCACTAAATAAACTAAAACAGTAGCAAAAATGATTATTTAAATGCTTTAAAATGATAAACAATTACAAACTAATATATTTAGGTGCCAAGTTAATTGTGGCAGTGGTATAATTCCTATTACCAATTTAGGGATCATTTTGTACTTCACAAAACTAAATTACAATGAGGAATAAAATAAAACAGAAAAGAAAATAAATAAAAAAGAACAAAAAAAAA